AAGTTTAAGACCATCCTGGCCAACATGGTGAAACCCCATCTCTACTAAAAATACAAAAATTAGCCCGGCATTGTGGTATACATGTAATTCCAGCTACTGGGGAGGCTGAGGCAATAGAATTGCTTGAACCTGGGAGACAGAGGTTACAGTGAGCCGAGATTGCATCACTGCACTCCAGACGGGGTGACAGAGTGAGACTCTGTCTCAAAAAAAAGAAAGAAAAAAAAAATCAGTGTAACAGGAAGTGGCAGAGAAAGTTACTATTTTACAAAGGGTTATCAAAGACTGCCTCTATTCTGAAGTTACGCCTGAACAGAATATAAATGAAGAGAAGACACAGCTCACTCAGATCTGGAGGAAGAATGGCAAGGAAAGGGAATTAGCAAGGACAAGGCACTATGTAAGGAACATGCTTGGTCCATGTGAGAAACAGCAAGATCTGTGTGTCTGTGGATTGTGAGTGAAAGGAAAGTAAAAAACAATGACATCCAGAAGGTGAAGGGGAGAGGATTGCTTGAGCCCAGGAGTTTGAGGCTGCAGTGAGCTATGATCACAGAACTGCACTCCGGCCTGGGCAACAGGCTGTTAATAGAGACAGGAAGACCCTGTGTCCATTAAAAAAAAAAAAAAGAATGACTGTTTGGGGTCAGATCAGACAGTCTTGTTAAGTGATGGAACGGACATTCATTAGCTTTTATTCTGAGTAAGATGGGAAACTAACAGAGCTTTCAGTAGAAGAGTGACAAAATCTGACTTATATTCTGAAGGGAAAATAGATTGGAGTGGGGCAAAAATGTTAGACCAGTTAGAAAGCTACTGAAGTAATCCATGGGAGCAGGGATGACGGCTAGCACCAGGAAAGACGCCTTGTAGGTCGTTAGAAAGTATTCACATTATAGATATACTTTAAAGACACATCTGATAGGATTTGCAAATGCAGTAAATACAAAGTAATTGAAAGAGAGGAATCCAGGATGACCCCACGGTTTCTAGCATGAACACATGGGAGAATGGAGGTCACTAATACTGATATATGGAAGCATGGAGGAGATTCCAGTTTAGGGTGGTGATGAGGGTACACATGGCTGGGAATCAAATTCAAAGTTCTGCTCTGAACCTGTTTATCTGGAGATGATTTTTAGGTGTCCAAGTGCGTATGTCAAGTAGACAGCAAGATATTCAACTCTGGAGTACAGAAGAGAACAGAACTTGCCACAAAAATTTTATATGGGCTAAACATGGGAGATAGTACAATCCTACAGAAGAAAGAGACTTTAGCTGTCTAAATCTGACCTCAACATTCAAAGGAAACAGAGCCCTCAAAAGACTACTTCTTCAAGATCACCTAGTTGGGTAACAGTGTCAGAACTAAGATTTCTCCCAATCTCATGGTGCCCTTAGTGGAAGGAGAAATATTATCTCTAAAACCAAAATAATTTCTTAAATTATTTAAAAAACACAAAGGGCAAAAAAGTATTATAAACTACTACTGAATTTTGTAAAAGCTTGAAACATATTCTGAATAATTTATTAAAACTAGATTTTTCTGCACTGAGGTATATGAAAAACCATAAACATTTAGCTCTGTGGGATTTTCAAGCCCAAATGCATAAGGCATGATCTAGTAAAAAACTCTGATGCCCTTGAATGTCCCTGTGAAATACATACACCGGGCACCTTCACTAACTGGTAGGGTCTGGCTGTACATAGCTCACTCTAGGGATGGGGTGACAAATACCTTTCATCTCTTTTGACAATTTAAAAGGATTTTAAATATAAATTCCTTTTAAATTTAATTCCCAATTTCAAAGGGCAGAGGCAGGAGGATCACTTGATCCTGGGCGGTCATGCTACAGTGAGCCATGATCACTCCACTGCTCTCCAGCCTCGGTGACAAGTGAGACCCTGTCTCAAAACTAAAACTAAAACAAACCAACAAACAACAACAACAGGTACTTTAGAATGGCTACCAGGAACACCGCCTTGAGGTTTATGGGGTCACTCCAGGCTCCCTAGGAAAAGGTACTGTGATCAATAAGATGTGTTCAGTATGGAGTGTTGGTGTGGATTACTGTGTATGTGGCACTGAAGCAACTAAAAAAAGCTCTAACATTTAATGAAGAATTATATTATGGTTATGCTTTTGCTACTGGCTTTCATTTAAAAATTAGAGGAATGGTTATACTCAAATCTGTCACAAAGATATAAAAATTGGTGTTTCAAACCATTGGAAATTCATACATAGCATTTTTAAAGTTTAAGTAATTTTTCCTTTTGCCAGTTAGTAGCACATTCAGAATCAAATGTCAGGTCTTTCCGAGGCCAACCTCAAATTCTTGATAGTCTGGAATCAAAACAGACTTAAAGCTGGAGCAAAATCCTCCAGACAATGAATTTCCAAGACTCTAGCTCCTCTCTCCACAGAAATGGCTCAGATAATCTTTAGAGGTCTTTCAAGGGCACTAAGCCCATAATATACATTAAAATGGAATTGTCAAGAAGGTGTCTGGGGATCCATTTGATCTCCAAAAGCCTCAAGTTTCTTTACCAGTTACCACAGAGAGGAAAGACAGGGCGGGTCAGGGGCCATTTTACCCTGTCTGCCTAACTGAGCAATGGGTAGCTAACTTTGACTTACGTTTTTTTTTCTTTTAAGCACTACATTTATAAAATAAGATTTCAGTCAACCAAAATGTATAGAGAATTAACACCTTTTTACTCACACTTAGATTAATAATACCATTTTACAAGTATAAGTGAAGCTTCTAATGTATCCCTCCTCAATCATACTTTCTTTTTTCCCTCATTTCAAGTGGAAACCATTGCAGGAAATTCTCTTATGGTCTTAATTTTTTTTCAAAGGAACATGTAACCAAAAGACACAATATGGTAAAATACATTATTTGAAAGTAAAATGAAAAAAAAATATATGAGATTACTTTTTAGCTGTGGAACTCAGCCCTGCGGGAGTAGATGGTTGTTCAGGATCCTGGTTAACAAGGCAAGTTGGAAAGGAGCAGCCATCACCTAGACTAGAATTAAAACAAAAATTTAGAACTGAACCATACGAAAGACAACAGAGTGAAACCCTGCCAAAATGCTGATGTCTGAGAGTAGAACATGCTATACTATAGGCAAAAAAAAAAAAAAAAAAAAAAAAAATTGTGTATTAGACATTGAGTTCAACATAGTGTTCAGGAAGATGATGAATTAACTGACTTCTACGTGGTATTACAGTGAATCACAGAACAATACTTTTAAAAAATAAGAGTTCCTACACAGAATTGCAAGTCTATGGAACTAGAGGGTTTTCCTGAAACTACCTTTTGCTGTATTATTTTCATTACTTAGAGCCTGAAAATTTTCACAAAAGAGTACCTTGAAAAAATGGGTAGCAACCAGTACTTCTTCTCATCACCAAAAACTTGTCGCATGTTTTTACTGAAACCCAAGCTGAATCCATTCTTATCTGTTCCATGTCGAAATACTGGACTTCTGAATGCCTCTAAAAAAGATGGTAAAGGAATCACATGAGTAAAGAATGTATTTACTAGTAATCCTGAATATTTAGCAATAACTGAAGTAAATGAAGAAACTGCAAATCAATGGCTAGCTGACTGTGAGTGCTTATGTGCCTATCAACACCCCTGAAACATAGGGTGTCCATTCTGTTTTAAAATATCATAAGATGTATCTATTTTAATTGTAAAATACGCCTTTTTATGATAACAGTATATGTGCACTGTAGAAAATCAGAAAATACAAACTAGCAAATAAATTAAAACTGCATCTTCTGAATCTTTTGAACGATAGATAAATGAATGGATCCACAGATATAGATATACAAATCTACAGGTGTATTTTTTAAAAAAAACCAAATGAGACAATGTTTTACATACATTCCACTTGCTTTTCAGTAAATCCTTTTTTTTTTTTTTTTTTGAGTCAGGGTTTCACTCTGTTGCCCAGAGTGGAGTACAGTGGTATGATCATAGCTCACTGTAGCCTCGAATGCCCAGGCTCAAGCAATTCTTCTGCCTCACCCTTCCAAGTAGCTGGAGTAACAGGTGCCATGCCACCATGTCTGGCTAAGCATTTTCCAATTTCATTGAAACTGGTTCTCATCTAATACAATTTTTCCAGCTGACTATAAAATGTACTTTTGAACTAGTCTGTCCAAACCAGGATCCAGTCCAGAACCATGTACTGCATCTGGTGATGCTCATTCTGCATATGAAAGCTGGTTCACAGAGGCTCTGGGACTTGCCTAAGGTCACACAACAAACACACACAGAGACTTGAATAAGGTCATCAACATTCCTTCAAAAATACATTTTCTTCTTGAATCATGCTGAAATGCAAAATCTAACATTTTATTTTTGGAATATGAACATGGAGGTATAATGATTTTTCTCCATTATATTAAAAAGGAAAGTCTAATCAGCAGAATTAGGCACTATGAAAAAATGTGGTCATTTGCAAGATCCTTAGCATTCTTCATCCCAGGATATACAGTTTTTTCTAAAACATTTCATAGGACCATATTATCCAGGGGAAGTCCTTTCAGTGCTACAAGTTAAATCTAGAAGTTTCCAGAAGTTAAAAACCTCTAGAAACAATAAATTTACTTTTGACGAATTATAATTTAACTGCCTAACACATAATTTGAAATAAAATTACTGGGCTTAGAAATTACTTTATTTTATCAGTAGTTTCACCCTAATAGTATTTGGTGTAATGATTTCATTTCAGAATTCTGTAATGTTTCATTTCAGAATACTGAAAATGAACACTAATTGACTACGCACTGTAATTAATCCTCATTGCATATTATAATAACCGAAGCTCACAGCTTGGAGTGTCCTTTATGATCATAAGCATTTGTGGTCCTGGTTGCATTCTCAAACTCCTAACTTTGGCCTAGAAACTCTACATAGCTTAGTCCTTGATTGCCTCTCAAATCTCATTAATGTATTTCTCAATCTTTAGCATTCTATGCTTCAGCCACATGGAGTGTTTCTCAAATATTCCTAGTTTTTTTTCTCTTTTCCTGTAGGGTCTTTTATTTTCAATTGAGGTGAAATTCACAGAGTGTAAAATTAGACTTTTTAAAGTGTTCAACAGAATGTAATATATTCACAATTTTGTGCACTTCCCACCTATATCAAATTTCTAAATATTTTCATCACTCCAAAAGAAACTCCATATCCATTAAAGCTGTCACTCCCTACTCCCCCATTTCCTCATTCCCTGGTAATCACTAATGTGATTTTCCTCTACAGATCTACCTATTCTGGATATTTCATAAAAATGGGAATCATAATATGTAATCTTTTGTGATTGACTTCTTTCACTTAGCATGTTTTCAAGGTTCATCCATGTGTATCAGGACTTCATTCCTTTTTATGGTTAATATTCCATTGTATAGATATGCCACATTTCTTCCATCCTTGGATGGGCATTTAGGTTGTTTCAACCTTTTGATTATTGTGGGTAGTGCTGCTATGAACACTAGTATACAAGTATCTCTTTCAGTTCCTGTTTTCAATTCTCTTGGGTATATACCTAGGAGTGGAGCTGCTGGTTCATATGGTAATTCTATGTTTAGCTTTTAAAAGAATTGCCAAACTGTTTTTCACAGTGGTGGCACCATTTTATATTCCCACAAGCAAAGTAGGAAGGTTTCAATTTCTCTACATCCTCACCAAGACTTTTTTAAAAAAAAATTGTAGCCATCCTAGTGAGTGTAAAGTGGTACCCCAATGTGATTTTGATTTGCATTTTCCTAATGACTAATGATGTTGAGCATATTTTTCTGTGCTGGGATTTATCAAACAACAAATAAATGATGGAGTGAGACTTGAATGAGGTCATCAACATTCCTTTCATAATACTACATATTCTTCTTGAATAATGCTGAAATGAAAAATCTAAAATTTTATTTTCCCCATTTGTATATTTTCTTTAGAGGAATGTTTGTTTAAATGTCTATTCAAATTTTTTGCCAATGTTTTAACGGGGGTGTTTGCATCTTTTTGTTGTTGAGTTACAAGATTTCTTTGCATATTCTGGATAGTAGGGCCCTTATCAGACAATGAATTGGAAATATTATTCTCCTTCTGCAGTTTGTTTTTTTACTTTCTTGCGTTTTTTAATGCATGTAAGTTTTTAATTTTGATAGTGTAAGTTTCCTATTTTTTCTCTGTTGCTCATGCTTTTGATGTTATATCTAAGAATTCACTGTCATATTCAAAGTCCTGAAGATTTATCCCTCTATTTTCTTCTAAGAGTTTACAGTTTTAGCTCTTTCATTTAGGTCACTAATCCATTTTGACTTAATTTTTTGTATGATGTGAGGTAGGGATACAAGTTTATTTTTTGCCATGTGGATACTGAGTTGTCCTTGTGCAACTCAAAGATATTATTCTTTCTCCACTGGATGGTTTTGGCACCCCTGTCAAAAATCAATTGGCTAAAGATGTATGGGCTTATTTCTGGACTCTCAATTCTATTTTATTTGTCTATATGTCCATCCTTACGCCAACACCACACTGTTTTGATTACTGTATGTTTTATAGTAAGTTTTGAAATCAAGAATGTGAGTCTTCCAGGTTTGTTCTTTTTTTGGTGAATACTGTTTTGATTATGTGAGGCTTCTTGCCATTCCACATGAATTTGAGAATTGGCCTTTCCATTGATGCCAAAAAAAGCCATTAAAATTGCAGTGAATCTGTAAATCACTTTGGGTGGGTAGGACTGCCATCTTAACAATATAAGGTCTTCCAAGTCCATCAACATGGGATGTCTTCTTTAATTTGTTTCAGCAATGTTTTGTAGTTTTCAGTGTGCTAGTAGTGTTATATGCACCTCCTTGGTAAATTTATTCCTACCTATTTTATTTGTTTAGATGCCTTTTCAAATAGAATTTTCTAGATTTCCTTTCTGGGTGGTTTATTGCTAGTGCACAGCAATATAACTGATTTTTTTCCATACTGATCTTAAATCATGCAAATTTCATATTTTGCTTATTAGCTAAGCATTTTTATTGTGAATTCCTTAAGGTTTTCTATACATAAGATCATGTTATCTGTAAATTAAAATAGTTTTACTTATTTCTTTTCAATGCCTTTGTTTCTTTTCCTTGACTAATTACGCTGTCTATAACTTATGTACAACGCTGAACAGAAGTAGTGAAAAGGAGCATCCTTGTTTTGTTTCTGATCTTAGAAAGAAGGCTTTCAGTTTTACACTGTTGTGTATGATGTTAGGTGTAGATTTCTCACAAATGACCTTTATCTCCTCATCAGGTTGAAGGAGTTCCTTATTTTTCCTAGTCTAAGTGCAATTCTTCTTAATCTTGAAAGGATGTTGGATTTTGTCAAGTACTTTTTCTGCATTAATTTTTTCCATACTGATCTTAAATCACGCAAATTTCATATTTTGCTTATTAGCTAATCATTTTTATTGTGAATTCCTTAAGGTTTTCCATTTTTATTTCCTTTATTCTATTAATGTGGTATATTACCACTGATTGATTTTCATATATTAAACTCTACTTGCATTCCTGGGATAAATCCCTCTTGATCATGGTTGTGTAAGCCTTTTAATATGTTGCTGGATTTGGTATGCTAATATTTTGTTAACAATCGTTCCATCTATATTCATATTGGTTTATAGCTTTCTTGTGATGTTTGTGTCTCTGGCTTTGGTATCAGGGGAATGTTGGCCTCATAGAAAGAGTCAGAGAGTGTCCCCTTCTAATTTTTAGCAGAGTTTGAGAAGAAGTTAATTCTTCATTAAGTGTTTGGCAGAACTCATCACTTAAGCCATTTTGTTCTGGGCTTTTCTCTTTGTTGTGAGTTTTTTGGATTACTGATTCAATCACTTTACTTCTTACAGGTCTGCTCTGATTTTCTACTTCTTCTTGAGTCAATTTGGTAGTCTGTGTGTTTCTGGAAATGTGTCCACTTTATCTAGGTTGCCTAATTTTTTGACAGACAATAGTTCACGGCATTTTCTTAGTCTTTTTATTTCCATAAAGTCAGTAGTAATGTCCTTACTTCCATTTCTGATTTCTGTGATGAGTCTTCTCTTTTTCTCTTGCTAGCCAAGGGATGTCATATTTGTTGACTTTTTTAAAAAGAACCAACTATTGATTTTATTGTTTTTCTATTTTTTAATACTCTACTTCCATTATCTCCTGTCTTTATTATTTCCTTCCTTCTGCTGACTTTGGTTTTACTTTGCTCTTCTTCTAGTTCCTTAAGGTATAAAGTTATTAATAGAGGTATTTATTTTTTAAATATAGGTATTTACAGCTCTACATTTCCCTGTAAGCACTGCTTTGGCTGCCTCCAATATCTGTATGGCTTTTAAACATACATGTTCTGGCTTTTTCTATACCTGACTTCTTAGGTTAAGTACTTTTTGTTGTGATAAGCTCTCCCCTGACCACTCATTCTACATAGGCTTCCTTCCACCATCCCCATCCTTTTATTCATACCTCAGCATCTTTTTATTTTCTTCAAAGCACTTTGCATTTTGTAATCACTTTTATGTTTGGTTATTAATTTTTGTGCCCCTCACTAGACTGTTTTGCCCCTGCTCACTACTGTGTGTGTGTGCGCACGTGTGTGTGTGTGTGTGTGTGTGTATATATATGCATATATACATATAAGAGACAATCAATATATGGAATGAGCAAACCTGTATGTGTCTAAGCGACATATCAAAAAAATAATGAGGAAAATAAGAATGATTTTTACCACTTCAGGGCAGGTTGGCATTTAATCACATAGCAACTGTCAATGAATGTTGGTATATGTACTTAAAGTTCTGTCAACTACAATAATTGGATACTCACCTAATGTAGATTTATTTTTGCTGACTAGCCAACAATGATAGCCAAACAGAGAAGACAAGCTGACAGAAAACATAGCTGCAGCAAAGAATAAAAACATAATATGGAACTTGGCTTGAGTATCAGGTAGGCCATTCTATAAAGAAAGGAAGAAAATAAAATGTTTTGTCAAAGGGATATGTATTCCCCTACTTTTATAAGTAAATTAGTAAGATTTTTTTTGCTTAAAATTTTTCTTAAATTTAATATGAAAAAATATGTGGCTTTATTGTTAAAAGTTTAGGAAAAATATGTATACATTTTGTCAGATTAAATGTTTACCAGAATATGTATATGAAAATGATATTGAAATTTGGAATATTAACTTTTTTTTCATAACCAAATCATAGAAAATTTATGGTAGTATATGTATAAACTGTAATAGTAAGAAGCAAGATAAATGGAACTATAAAATGTAGTTTTAAATTTATTAACAGAGTATGTTTTGTTAACATACTACAGAATCACAAATGTTCAAAAAGTTTCATTATAATGCCAGAAAATGAAGGCTAACTGGCACAACTTGGTTACTATCCTTATTGATGTTTTACGTTACTACAAACAGCATCATCACCTAAATGAATACATATAACAACACATTCACAATAATGTTTCAAGCTATCTTAAATAATAGGACCACAGAAAAGATCAACACCAGTGCATAACACCTGTCTAAAATAAATCTTAATATCCATGGGCTCAAACAGTCCATCTCAAAGAAAACCAGTTAGACTCTCCTTGTTTATAAATCCAAAGAGACCTGGAATGGCTCTAGAATGGAGGGGATGGGGCTATGGACACACAGTGAAGCACCATGGCTGCCAGGAGGTGGCTTTTCCTCACGTTTCAATACCCTGGAGTACCTGACCGATTGACACAGGTCACAAGACCTCACTGACAGTTTTCAACAGCAGCAGCTTTTTTTTTTTTTTTTTTTTTTGACAAACAGTGAAAATTCTGATCATTCCTTTTCAAATATATTTGTGGTTTGAAACTAAAGTCATCCGCAGGAAGGAGAAGCAGTGAGGTAATGTTCTCCCAGACATTCAGTAGGGATCATTTTTCAAGCTGGACACTGAAAGACTCCTTGAACGCTAGCAGCAGGCCTCTTCACTCATTTCTTTCTATGCTTAGCAACAGAACTGGCACATAGGAGGCATTCCATAACTCTTTGGTATTTAATTTGGTTCAGATCTCACATAAGTAATCTAGCAATTTAGAAATTCTTATCATAATAGAGTTATAATTTAATGAAAATAATAAATCAATCCTGGCAGCAGATAAATTGATTTTTTACTGTCATTTGGTGTTCACAAGGAGGACCTCTGGATATCTTAAATCCTCAATGTTAATTTCTTTTTGCCTACATTTAAAATATATAGTGTATAAAGCCTAATCAAGAAATACTGAATAAAAACTCAGGACATTATAGGCATAATAGTTTAAAAAATAATCTTCTTAAACATAAAGAAAATACTTCTATTTTTAAATCCTGAAAAAATCTTATATAGTCAGCAATTCTCGTTATTCGCAGTACGTATGTTTTATAAAGTTTCCACAAACGTTGAATTTGTGAATACTGAAAAACTGCTCCTAGGGAAAATACAGGGTTAGGTTTCTACGAACTTCTGGTCACAACATCTTTGACAGCTGATCAATGCGTAACCTTGTTTTATGTGTGTTTCTGCTTAAATGAACCTTATTTAATATACATTATTGATTTGTTAATATAGAACTCATAGCTAACAGCACTGTAACGCATGCCTGAATTAAGCTTATCTAATACATGTATTTTCTCCATAAGACACATCAGTTTTCTTTTGCTTAGAAACATTAGACCACACTTTAGCACTACACTTGAAGACCTTTTTTTGACAGCAAAATCACCAACAAAAAGCACAAAAATGGAAAAAAGCATGGCACTAAATAGACTGTGGAAAGCACACTTGTTTACAGTATGAGAGCTGAAGCAAGAAGGCAAAAGCGTCGTCTTGTTCAACCTCAGCTGGGAATGGGCACGGGGGCAACTCAATGTTTTTGCCACTCTGCACATGCCTGCAGATGACGAAAGCTGTCAGTATTGATGTGGGGGTTACAATTACATTTTAGTGAATTAACAAATATAGAATCTGCGAATAATGAGGACTGACTGCATGTCAATGAGCTCTAGTCTATAAAATCTCTGTCTGAAATAATTCTGTCCTGCAAAGCCTACATTATTATTGTATACCAAAAAAAGAGTTACCGAGTTAATGACTTACTGTCCAAAATTTGATAAAATACTGTAAATCGGTTGCCGCAATAAAAAGGCAGTAGAGCAGAGAATAAGCCAAGAAAAGGAGAAAGAACTTATAATTTGAAAATCCAACACAATTGTTCACCCTGTTAACAAAACAAAAACATTTCCAGTGAGTTTTACATCTTCAACCTACATGTGCATATGCTCAAGCAAGTGTTCAGCTTCCTCTCGGTTTTAATTTATTGGCATTTCTTTAAATATAACTCACAATATTTCTTCATGCATACAATCATTTAAAAATCCATTTCACTAAAGAGAAATTTGCTTCCATTTTTAAAACATGATATTTAATATTGCTTTAGCCAATCATAAACAGTGTAACTGCACGTCATGTCAAATTACGCAAGTATGCACATCCCTCAAAGCACAGAGCCCATTAGAAACCTCATCAGGCCAGGCAGTTTAGGTGAATTTACTAAACCCTTCCTCTATGCTATCTTTGGGTTTGATTTCCAACTATGATTAATTAAGTTAACATTTTTCAAGTGTTCCCAGATTAGATGGAGTATCTTCACAGATTACTCTTTGCATGCCATCACTGAAGCAAGCGGACTGTCAAAGCATATTAAATAGGAGCTTTAAGAAAAGAAGTAGGCCAGGGAGTTAGACAGCCGGGTCAGAATGCCCATGTAACACTAAGTAATGATGCGGCCCTGAGGAAGTGAAATCATCAATTAGAATTTCATTTCTTTATCTGTAAGTTAAACACTCTGAGGTCATTTCCAAAAGTCGGCTCTAAAAATGCTATAATTCCAAACATGGAAATTTATAAATCTCAGTTCTCACTCCAAAGTCGTTATCTGAGGGGGGATAACTCAAACTACTGTATCAATAAACATAAGTACAACTACAATTCATTTTTATAGGCTCACTTTCCTTTTGTTAAGATTTTCCTTTTTTAAAAAAATTATATTTTATTTTACTTTAAGTTTTGGGATACAAGTGCAGGTTTGTTACATAGGTAAACGTGAGTCGTGCGGGTTTGTTGTATAGATTATTTCATCACCCAGGTATTAAGCCTAGTACCCATTAGTTGTTTTGCTTAGCCCTCTTCCTCCTTCCACCCTCCTCCCTCCAAAAGGCCCCAGTGTGTGTTGTTCCCTCATCTGCGTCCATGTGTTCTCATCATTTAGCTCCCACTTATAGGCTTATAGGCTTATAGGCTTATAGGCTCACTCTCTTTCTATCAAATTTTTGGTTTCCTTTTCTTAAAGACAAGGGCATTACTGGATGACCTTGTGTCAATGTGATACAACACCCATGTGGAATTGGCTAATACCTTCATGGGTTGGGTAACTTCTTGGTTAACCAGTATAATGAACCTATTAAATAGAACATACACGTTTCCTTTTCCAGTGTTCAGCCTATTGCATAGAACACACACATATTGTTTCCTTTTCTCAAATGTCCTTGTTCCTGTTCTAATGTAGGTAAAAATCACCTCACCCTCCACTGACTTAGCTACTAAGATGAAACACTTTTCTCTCTAGATTTGTAAAAACGAAACCATGTTCATGTGAAAAAAATGTTTTTACATCATATCCCTCAAAAAATATGAGGTAAAGGGAATAGCATTAGATTTAGTAATTTTTAAACTTAAAGGTCTTTTGGGTGCGGTGGCTCATGCCTGTAATCCCAGCACTTTGGGAGGCCGAGGCAGGCAGATCACAAGGTCAAGAAATCAAAACCATCCTGGCCAACATGGTGAAACTCTGTCTCTACTAAAAATACAAAAATTAGGTGGTCATGGTGGCATGCGCCTGTAGTCCCAGCTACTCGGGAGGCTGAGGAAGGACAATCACTTAACCCAGGAGGCAGAGGCTGCAGTGAGCCGAGATAGCGCCACTGCACTCCAGCCTGGCAACAAAGTGAGACTCCCTCTCAAAAAAAAAAAAAAAAAGAAAAGAAAGAAAAAAAAGAAGCCACAAATTGTGGGTGCACATTGTATGGAAACAGTTACATCTGCATCTCTAGAGGTTCCAGTGGGGGGATGCAAGCCAGTTGCTGAGGTTGTCTTTTATGGTGTTTGAATGGAATCTGGCAGGAAATAATATTGTAAACAATGAGTCTAGTCTAATTGTATCCTGTCTCAAAAGGATACAGGATATTCCCTTTGCATACTTATGTTGGTTTCAAGGGGAAAGAATGCGTAGGCAAAAGCTGAGGTGCTTTAACACTTTGGACAACATGGGTGGGCGCGGTGGCTCACACCTGTAATCCCAGCTCTTTGGGAGGTTGAGGCAGGCAGATCACCTGAGGTCAGCAGTTCAAGACCAGCCTGGCATGGTCTTGGTGAAACTCTGTCTCTACTAAAAATACAAAAAATTAGCCAGACATGGTGGCGTGTGCTTGTAGTTCCAGCTACTCGGGAGGCAGAGGCAGGAGAAGCGCTTGAACCCAGGAGGCTTAGATAACGCCACTGCACTCCAGCCTGGGTGACGAGCAAAACTCCATCTCAAAAATTAAATAATAAAATAAAATAAAAATACAAAAACTAGCTGGACATGGTGGTGAACGTCTGTAATCCCAGCTACTCAGGAGGCTGAGGTAGAAGAACTGCTTGAACTCGGGAAGCAGAGGTTGCAGTGAGCCAAGTTTTCACCACTGCACTCTAGTCTGGGTGACAGAGTGAAATTCCATCTCAAAAAACAAAAAAGACTTCAGACAACATAGTTGTAAATAATGACTTGTGGACTAGGAAGAGATTGGAAGGGATAGAAGAGATTGTTTCTCTTCCTGAAGGAATAGAAGTAGCTTTTGTATTAAATAATAGAGTATTTTTATAGAAAGAAAATGATTTTGATCACAGATTTTATAACAACTAATTTAGCTTTGCTTAAGAGGATGGTACAATTTGCCATGTTAGAGCTAGGGACACAGGAGGTCAGTAAATAAAGACCATGTATTTTAGAGTTTAATATGTATATACACAGAATATGTGTGTGTGTTTGTGTGTGTATATGTATATAAAATTAGAAGAAATATAGTGACATTTATTTTGAATAATACCTGTCTTCGTAACAGACAACTTTTGGCTAGACATTTTAACTGCCTATTGCTTTATAGACTCAATTTGAAAAGGAAGGAGACTTCTTCTGAATCTATTTCTCCATCTAGAAAAGGAATGACTTCACATGGAGAAACAAAACGCGTTCTAGGTAAATATCCTTCTTACGTTAAGTTCAGCGTAAAACACAGCTGTTGGTCCTGTTTCCAGGCAATTGCTTTCTGACTTTAAATTGGAAAAAGAACATAATACACTGGAAGGAGTGTGGCCTTCGAAGTAAAAAAAAAAATTTCCTATGAAACTTTGAGTCCACTCTTTCTCTTTTCTGAACCTCATTTTTTTTCCCCTGTAAAATGAGACAAATATCCAGGAGGCAGAGCTTGCAGTGAGCCGAGATCGCGCCACTGCACTCCAGCCTAGGAGACAGAGCGAGACTCCATCTCAAAAAAAAAAAAGATGAAATAAAATGAGACAAATAATTTCTACTTCTTTCTGTCACTGTTTAAAGTATTACAGATTATACATATGGCCTCTAGAACATAATTGGCACTCAATAAATGGAAGCTCAAATAATTTGTTTTTGTGTTAACCTTTGGCAAGCATTATTAATATGATATAATTAATTAACTAAAATTTTACACTAAAGGAAAAAATACTTTGATAGAAAATCCAATAAAGCAAATACTATGGAATCTGTTTTAGTTAAAACACAAGTATGAGATTGATCCCCGAAATTCTGGTGGGTAATCTTCAGTGGCCAGAGCAGAGACTGAGAAATCATTGCAAAATGGAGAGGTATTAATGATTCAATGTGTCAAATGTTCAAAGCTGACAGATACTAAGGTCAAAAGACCTGTTTAAAACACCTGTATAAAAAGGCTGCCCCGGCCGGGCGTGGTGGATCACGCCTGTAATCCCAGCACTTTGCGAGGCTGAGGCGGGCAGATCATGAGGTCAGAAGATCGAGACCACCCTGGCCAACACAGTGAAACCCAAAAATACAAAAAGAAAGTAGCCAGGCGTGGTGGTGGATGCCTGTAGTCCCAGCTAGTTGGAGGCTGAGGCAGGAGAATGGGGTGAACCCAGGAGGCGGAGCTTGCAGTGAGCCAAGATCATGCCACTGCACTCCAGCCTGGGCGACACAGCGAGACTCCGTCTCAAAAAAAAAAGAAAGGCTGCGCCTGGGTCTGAAAACATCCTAGAAGTACTATAAGTAACTGTCATTAGACGAATACATTCACACAAAGCCTGTAGAAAAAGATTTTTTATGTATTCATATAGAAACATTTCCAGAATATATTAAGTGAAGAAAATAAAAAGAAACGGATTCAGTCAATAATGTAGTCACTTGTACTAAAAAAAAAAAAAAAAAAAAAAGAAGAAGAAGAAGAAGGCGTCTAATTAAAGACACAGGGGGAGGGGGAACACTTGTTGGAAGAAGAAAAAAAACA